CATTACTATAATTCAACATTGCCCTGTAGATTTTAGTCAGTACAGTAAAATAAGGAAAAGGAAATAAAGACCCTGAATATTTACACAGAAAATTTAAGAGAGCCTATACACTTAGAACTAAAAAAGAGCTAAAGTCTGCAAAATACAAGATTATTATATAAAAACCAACTGCATTTCAACAACCACCAATCAATACATTATAAAATATAAATTTGAAAATACAATTTATAATAGCAGTAAAAACTTTAAGACATGTAAGAATAGTTTTGTGAAAACCACTGACATCCTGGCTGGTGTGGCTTATTGGATTGAGTGCCAGCTTGCGAACCAAAGGGTCTTGAGTTCAATTCCAAGGTAGGCACATGCTCCAATTGCAGGACAGGTCCTCAGTGGGGAGTACGCGAGAGGCAACCACACATTGATGTTTCTCTCCCTCTTTTTCTCCCTCCCTTCCCCTCTCTCTAAAAATCTTAAAAAAAAAAAGAAAAAATCACTGACAAAGTTAATTTCACTCAGTTGTTTTTTTTTAAAGATTTTATTTTTTAAGATTGGATTTATTTACTTTTAGAGAGAGGGGAAACAAGGGAGAAAGAGAGAAAGAGATGCCCCCAACTGGGGACCCAGGCATATGCCCAGACCCTGGGGTCAGGGTTGAACAAGCAACCTTTCAGTTTGAAGGCAGGCACTCAATCCACTGAGCCACACCAGCTGCGCTCCATTCAGTCTTTAGTTGGGGAAACAAACTCTGAGAGGGGAAATGACTCTTTGAAGGACACCAGTAAGCCAGTAGCAGATTTGGATTTTTCAGTGGCACCAAATCCTAGGGATCCCAGTGTTGCATAATTCTGATACTGCATGCCTGCCTGCCTTCCTTCCTTCCTTGTTTATTTTATTTTTAGAGAGAGGGGAAGGGAAGGAGAAAGAGGGAAACATCAATGTATGGTTGCCTCTCCACGCCCCCTCCTGGAGACCTGGCCTGCAACCCAGGCGTGTGCCCTGACACAGAATCCAACTGTGACCTGTCATTTTGCAGGCCCATGCTCAGTCCACTGAGCCACAACAGCCAGCGCTGATATTGTCTTTCTTGTAGGAAAAATAAACACCTTTGATTTTTTATAGTTTTCTGATTATAAATTCAATATTGATTCTAGAAAATATAGAAAATCCAGAAGAACATTAAGAAGTGATAAGTCACTACATTCCCATCCTACTACCTAGAGAACTATGATCAATGATTTGCTGTATTTTCTTTAAAATATTTGTCTATGTATATTTATGTTGTTATAAATAAAATTAGGATTATATCATGTATACCATTTTGTGTTCTGCTTATTTTCTCACACATTTCCCTGTAAACTCACCTAGTCTTTTAAATTTGATAATTTAACACTATTATGCTGATGAAGCATATGTCACTTATTTAACCCATTAATTCGAGTTTTCAAGACAAACCAAGTATCAGATATGATTGTGATCATATGATAAAAGTTAAACCTCAGCCAGCTCATGCACATGCAGACATGAAACACAGGTAAGTTTCTAAAGGCCAGTGGTTATCCTGGTGAAGGGAAAATGGCAAAATATATGTCAAGTACCACCAGGAAGGGGAGAGACAGATCTGGTTAGCAGGAGCAAATGGGATTTTGAAGGAGTGTTTTCTTGGAGACCAATTAGTTCCAAGGCTTCTACGTAATTCCCGTAATTCTGCAGTCCTGGCTCACTTCCTGGTGAAATGAGGACAATACCGGTGCCCAGACTCAAGTAGGGCTAGCGCCTTTTGGCCTCAGAGCCTTTGTACTGGTCGGTTTTGTTTTTCTTTTTCCTGCTAAAGTCAGCTCTGTCCTTCTCCCCATCTGGCTACCCATGTTGGCCCTCCAGGCCTGGCTGCCCTTCCCTACCTTGTCCACCAAGCCTGATAGGTGACCTAACTAGAGTCGACTCCCCTGCCGACGGCCACTCCAGGGGTACTCTGCTACAAGCCCAGTGTTCAGGTCTTTCTTGGATTTGCATCTAAAGCAGAGGTCCCGTCTCATTATTCCCATTTAATTCCTTTAATCAGACATCTCCCAACATATGATAAACGTGTCATGATTTTGTTTCCTTGGGTCTTGTCTGTTTTCTCCGCTACTTAGGACCCCTTCCATCTTGATGGCCGTTGTACCCCTTAGGCTTAGCACGTGGCCCGGACAGCACACAGGTTCGTGAGAAAACAAGAATAGGTTTGAGGACGCTCACAGTTAAAACTGCGGGAGGACTGAGCTGATCCCAAATTGCAGGCGGAGGCACTACGTAGAGGCGAGGTTTAGGCGGGGCCTCGAGTTTGGGGGCGGAGTCTCGGGGGCGGGTCTCTGACAGTTCTGCCTGACTGAGCCCAGCGGAGTTCCTGCAGCCCAAGGCCCTCTGGCCCCTGGCACGCGCCGTCATTAGGGGGCGCGCGCGCTCGTGGCGCCGCGGCTGTGCTGGGAGGCGCCTCCCGCTCCCCGCGGCTGGAGCCGCAACTCCGGGAGCGGGTTCAGTCGTCCCCTCTGCCGCCGCCGCCGCCGCCCCTGGGCGCGGGCTCGCTTGTCCTTGCGCTCACGCTCTCCGGCCGCCGGTGTCTCCCGGCCCGGCCGCTGCCGCCTTGCAGTGAGTGGGGGCGGGCCGGGGGATTAGGGGTCCCGGGGCTCGGGAGGGCCGGGCTGGAGGAGAAGCCCGTGAGGAGCGGCAGGGAGAACGCGGTTGAGGTGAATCGGGCGGTGGCGGGGCCGCGCTGAGGGACCGAGGGGAGCCCGGGCGGCGCACTCCGGGGCTGGTACGGGCCCGCGGCGGGCTTCCCGCAGCGGGCTTCCCGCAGCGGAGCGGCCGGGCTTGGGCGGGGGTTCCGGGGCCAGCCGGGATGGGACGTGTGTTGTCTGAGGACCCAGGGTCGGGCTTCGGTGCGCGCCCCCTGCCCGGGCCCGGAGCATCTCCTGTCCCACGCCGGGGCCGGATCAAGGTGGGGGCACTTCGTCTGCGGGGCAATAGCGAGGCACCGCCCGGCCAGGGACTCCTCGAGGTGTGCTCGAAAATTGTTTTGGGGGGTGGTGCTTATTAGCCACCGTTTGCGGTAATTTGAAGCTTACGGTAGGGCTTCTGGTCCCTGCCTCAGGGGATTTTCTCCTTCAGAGAGACGCTCTGACAGCAGCTGAGTTTTTTATGCTCAGATTTGTGTGTGTCATGGCATTTTTAATGCTTGATGTCAGAAGTGATAAATGGCCGCGGTTCTGGGGAGCCTCTGAAGCACCTGCTGGGCCGACGGTGGTGGAGGCTGGCTGAGGCTAGGACGGGAGAAATGAACCAGATCCTGTTCGGATATTCTGATGAAGTTATCAAGTTTCTGTTCAACTATACCAGTTCCAGAACAAATCGATAAATCCAATTTTAGGACTTAGTGATAGATGAGGTTTGGGTGCAGCGAGACCCTGGGTGACCTGGTTTGGCTGAGAATGTTTGGGGTAGCCTAAATGCCTTACCATTTCCCGTTGGCACGTTCATCTTGCTGTCACCAGTGCCCAAGTACATGAATGATTCCAGGAGAGGAAAGAGCTAGGGAAAGCACAGGCCTGATGTTTTCAAATGAACAAGTGTGTATCTAGGAAAAGGAAAATCTCTTTATCTACAGGGTTGGTAGGATGAGAAAACTTGCTCTTTGGTTGAGAACCATCCATCCACACTAATAGTCAATTGTGTAATGTCATGGATATTAAGGACTGAGTGGTCAGGACGGTTATAGATGCTGTTCCTAAGGTTTGTGTGATTTGAATTTTCATAAATAGTATTGAAACTAAAGCATTACTACATAAAGGAGTCCTAGGGTGGATCTTTCTATGAATCCTTCTAGGGGTTTTAGATTTTTATATGCGGATTCTATTCTATTTAAGATGGAATACACATGTCTATTTGGATTCATCTTTACGGTGGAGATAATCCTGAGTCATGCTTTCCAGAAGTTCCTTCTGTGGTCAAGAGCTCCGATGTCTGGCCATCTCTATAAAAGCTGGATGGTTCCCTGTACCTGTAGTTCTCCCTTCTGGAGCTCTAGGGAAAGGGAGACCTGGGGAGACTGGAAGCAAATGAAGAGGTCTTTTCTTTGATATTCGTCCTGCCTTCATGCCAGTGTTCTAAATTACTTGTGTTCACACTCTCAAGTTTCTCAATTCACCACAGAAATTTTGTTTATACTGCCACTTGTATTTTCATATTTGTTTAATTCTGGCCAGTTTACAAATGTTTTTCTATTCATGATCTTGCTTATTTTCTCCTTTTCTGCAGAGAAGCAGCTGGGCATAAAGAGTGATTTAACCAGGGTCTCATAAGTAGAATTGGAGCAGAATTGAGATACAGATCTTCACCCATTCTCTTTCCTCTGTGCTGGCCTGCATGGGACTGCAGAGCCTTAGTTCTGACCTGTTACCCTCTAGGTCACTTGTTGTCTTGCTATTGTGCCTAAGTGGTATTACTGCTTTTGGGAAGGTGGCATTCTCTTGTTTTATCCTGTAGAAACTGAGTGGGTTTAAGAGGAATTTAATAATTTTGTGACTATTTGTGATAGCTTTTTAGTATTAAAGTCAATTTTCAACTTAGCCTTTATTCTAGAACATGGGGAGAGAAGAGAGAGAAAAAAGAATGTTTTAGGAAAAAGACAATCCATTCCTTTAGAGGTATAGTTAAGGATAACCTAACATCACAGTCACATTCTCCTGTGTGCCTGGCTACTTGCGCCAGCCTGTATGTGAATGTTAGCCCAAAACACTCCTTTAGATGTCGCTGAACTAGTTACTATAAAAAGTATTTCACTTTCAAACTCCCACATTTCAAGAACAGAGAAATTCAGTACAAAGGTAATTCGAAGGTATGTATAGATGAAGTTTATTGAGTCTCCTTTTTGGAATGCCGGACAGAAAGAATACAGTAGAAAGGTGTTTTATTTCCTTCTTTTTCCTTTCTTTTTCTTTTCTTTCTTTCTTTCTTTCTTTGCTTTTTATAATGCGGAACACTTCAGGAACCTGTGTGTCATCCTGGAGCAGGGGCCATGTAATCTCTATATTGCTCCAATTTGAAGCGAGCCCTGGAAAGCCATTTTAAAAGAGTTGCCTGGAAACTTTGGAAAGGCAGTAGCTATAGGTTTTTATTATTTAGTCAAGTTTGGAGGTGTGTGTATTGCAATGTATAGATTGTTATGTAGGAGTAGAACTTTTGCCCCAGAGAATTCTTAGTCTGTACCTGAAATAATAAACCCAGAATATTTGTGTTCAATTAGTTCATCATAACCGTGAAGCCTGTAATTGCTATTCTGCAGTAGTGAGGAAAATGGCTTTCAGGGGTTCTTTGGTTTTTCTTTAAGGTATTGACTTGTTTAATTGTGCATTTTTCCAGATTTGCTACTTTGGAAAATTCTTAGGAAGTTTTCTTAAGACTTTTATAAATTCTTTAGCATTTTTTCTTAATTATCTGCTAACAGAATTTATACATTAACCTTGGAAGCTTAAGTGGGGGTGAAAATAGTGTTTTTCAGTACTGTTATATTTTTGGATTTGTCACCCAGTTGCCACAAGACTTTTATTTGGGCCAAAGGTCATATTTTTTTCCAGGTGAACTGATTTTACAAGGTCTGGAGCCTTTTTTTGAACTGTATAATTATGCTTGGCTTTTTCATTGTTACCCTCATAATCTCCATTCCTGGCAAATTTTCTGAAATACTAGGTTTTCTTTGTCTTCATCAGTAAAACAAGCCCATTTGATGCCCATTTCAAGATTTCCTGCTTGTCTTGTGGTCATTTAACTTCTCATTAAGCCCTCCACTGGAGACAGTGCCAGAAGGGAGAAAGGATAAAAAGCAAATAAATCATTTTCTAATTGTTAGCAGCTCTGGAAAATGATTTAGAAGAGATTGAAGCTATTCCGGAAATTCTTTTGGATTATATTCTATTTCATTCATCTGTACTGTCTCTGAGATGTTCCTAATAGTTATCAATTCAGAGGCTGATTACTCAGCTATTGGAAGACCAGAATGTTCCTGCTTTTTTTGGTTTGTTTCTTGCTGTATCTAAGCATTTCCATAGAGGATATTTAATAGAAGTAAGGAGTAGAGATAAAATTTAAACTAATCAATATTATTTTTTCCCTTAGAGCTTTTTAGTGAACAATTTGATTTTTGGGGGGTAGTTTAGTCATTGGTATTGAATGTGAATAATAGTAATTTCATTTTATTTTGATGTATCTTGTATACAAGTGTAAGGAGGTTTGGGTTGCTTTTTAAGAAACATGGGTTTATGTAGATGACCATAATTGCTTTCTTGAATTATTAAGCTTGAGGTTTCATTACATCTTTGTACCAGAACAGAACCTTGGCTTTTACTGTGGAACAGATTCAGGGGCATCATCTAATTTTCTTTTTATGATCGCTCAAGAAGTTATCTTGTTTTGATTTAGCAGTGAAAAAGAAACAAGAAAGGATTACTAGTGGACACACCTTGCGTAACAGTTACAACGTTGATGATGTCTGTTTTTTTTTTCCTTGTCTTTCTTTGGTCCCCCATTTTTCATTCAGCCATTTGGATATTCATATATCGGAGTTCCTCACTTATAAACAGGACAGCAGCCTTCAATCACACTAGTGAGTAGGTTCTTGCTATTTTTGCCTCTGGAATTTTTACAAACCCATCATGACTGCTCACTTAGACTGAGTTACTGTTAAATTTGTAAATAAAACCCTACTAGGCGGTTAGGGTTAATAGATAGCTGTAGGGGGTCCAAAATTAATCCTTTCAGTGTCTTGTTTTTTGGGTTCTGTTTCTTTCAGTTTCCGTAGAAAGAGGGGATTTATGGAAAGATCTAAACTAGGAGTCAGCAAACCCAAGTTCTTAATCCATTACTTTCTATCTGTGGGGCCTAGAGCAAGTCACTTATCCATTACTTCTCTAAAATTGAAACTAATTCATGCTCTGCTTGCTGTATCAGGGATGTGTTGTGTGTGTGTGTGTGTGTGTGTGTGTGTGTGTGTGAGAGAGAGAGAGAGAGAGAGAGAGAAAGAGAGAGAGAGAAAGAGAGAGAGAAAGGCCCCCTCCTCTTTTACCTAAAATGTTTCTTCATTCTAGAATCCTTCTCAGGTTGTCCAGATATCCCTGCTGAGGTCTACTGAGCAAGATCTTCCCAGAAGTCCTCCGTTTTTCCACGTGGAACTGTTCTTGCTCTTTCTTCAGAAAGCCTCTGCTAGTCTATCTGTATAGAAGTGCTATATAAACAGCACTTTCGAATTGTATTCTGTACTTCAAGCATTACATGTTGCCTTTCTTCATAGATTGAAAGCTTCATGAGGGCAGGAATTTGTACCTTTCCTGTTTCTGTGTATCCACATAGCACATAATGTTTATTGGCCTAGAGTAAATGTTGGTTGACTGAATTATTTTTGAGGCTGTCAGGAATGAATACTTGGGGAGATAAGAAGATGCCAAAGATGAGCATCTTACCAGAACTTTTGGATGACTGGCCTTTTAAATTGTTACTTATCTGTCTGTTTTATCAGTTATTGAATAAAAATTGTTAAAGCTGTTTTTGGTTCTCTTTACCTCAGATACTGTTTGTGAGGAATGATAGCTTGTCACAACAGCCCTGAATTTGACATTGGTTCTACTTCTCACCCTCTAGCATGTGGAGACCTATCTATATCTATACCCAGCTGCTGAGTGTGGAGAATAAAAACTAACTTCATGTTGTCTGGTCCACATTCTAGCTTGTTTGCTTTGAAGAATTTTCTAGGTGAAGAAATAGATGCTTCAGGGTCTGATTTCAGCGCATGCTGTGCTATGCAAATGTTCTCTACATGCCTGAGTGACCTTTTGAGAAAGAGCCTTTGTGATCTTCTGTAGCCAGGGCCTGTTCTGGGAATAGTGTGCCAGATTCCTCTGAAATGGGAAAAGTGAATCTGGTTAAAGATCACGTTAAAAAAGCCAATGCTTTTCCTGGGTAAATATTGGTAAGTCCATGTTTCTTACTGTCTCTTGTCAGAGTTTTTGAAATTTGCTTTCCCTGTTAATTTGGGAAATGATGTGTGTGAGAGGGTACTGACTAAAGCTATTCAATAGCTGGGAATCTGTTGAAGTAATTTGGAATTGCAGATCAATTTAGATCGGCATCATTAGTATCTGGGTGTTTATGAATGTCTTCAGCCTGGCTCTCCCTGAGTGCTGGCTGAGTGACTTTCAAACAGATTTGTAAGGTTCTTTTTTGCCCCAAATTGTGCTCTAATGGTTTGACTTTTAAATTATTTTCTATTTGTTTTGATTATTGTATAACATGACATGTATTGGTATTAAAAGTATAATTAGTTTTATGTTATGAAATAAATATCATTCTGGTGTATTTCTCTTGTAAAGTAGTACTGGTGTCTTGGAGGTTTATAGTTTTTAATGCTTTTACTGAGATGTTTAGTTTGTATAGCTGAAATGCTGATGAAGAAGAGGGTTTTTTCTTCCTTTCTTGTACACAGCCTTTTTGATAAGGGTCATGATAAGTATAAGGATAAAGTTGTAGAGTTAATCATAATGTTCTACTATAGAAATTCTAAAAATTGAATTTTCAGAGAAGATAGGTAGGATTTGAATGACTAGTTTACTGCTGGGCTCTTCCTCCTCTAAGTATAGGATAATTCTTTCTCTGTAGAGTTTGGTGGAAACCCCCAAAATATATTCTATTTTTTTGTCAATCTTCCCAAAAAAGGTATAATTTTGATTTATTTGTACTGGATGGCTATTGTTGTATTGGCTGTTGTCATTTTTTTGACAGTGTGAGGGAAAAGAGGTCAGTGCCCCTGACTAAATAGTCAGGTACTGCATGTTTTAAAAACTTGTGTTGCACATCATTTGAAAATTGCTGCCCTAGAGAAATGCTTTCTTCTTCAGGTCTTTGCCCTTAGCAGTTTTTTTAAAATAAAGATTTTATTTATTTATTTTTAGAGAGAGGGAAAGGGAAGGAGAAAAAGAGGGAGAGAAACACCAGTGTGAGAGATGTCAATGGGCTGCCTCTTGTACCCCCAACTGGGGACCCGGCCTGCAAACCAGGCACATGCCCTGACTGGGAATCGAACCCGTGACTTTTTGGTTAGCAGGCCACCGATCAATCTACTGAGCCACACCAGCCAGGGCTGCCCTGTGGCAATTTTTAATTGAGCAAAAATGAATAGTTTTCTTGTGTTTTGCCTATCCTGTAGGGTGTAAAAACCTTCTCTGTTTTCATAGTTACATGCGCTGTCATGTCTTTTTCTCCCCAAGTTTCCCTGGAACCTGGGCTCCCCAGACGCCGCGCTGGAGCAGATGGATAATGGAGACTGGGGCTATATGGTGAGAGCCTCTGCAGATGCATTTTGAAGGCTGTCAAATTATTTTTTATGTCTTTACCCCTTCTGATGTATTCCTAGGTACAATACTATACATCTTGTAAAAGTGAAAATGATTGGTGCAACCCCCCCTTAATTAGTTTAGACTGTATTTGGGGGTTGTTTTTGTTTGGTTTGGTGTTTTTATGTAAGCATACTTAGTTTGGACTCTCAAAGTAACTTTATAATTAATCACTTATTTGAAAAATCATGACTTTTTGGTCTTTAAAATCGCTCTTAACACTCTTTCTTCATAGGGTAGCCTACAAAAAGGGTCTGGTAGGTAATGGTACAGAGGGCATTTCCTTGTGGTTAGGGAGGTTAACCATTGAGAAGGTGCCACTTCTCCCGCTTTTACTTTCTTTACATATGTATGGTATATGTCTTCCTATTATTCTTTGCCTTTGGTAAGAAATATTTTACTTGCCTAGTACTTTGTTCATCTGTTTATATATGTTTTCTTAAGTATGGTTTCTAAAACTGAAGGTATATATTATTTAGAGAAGCTTGCTTTTCAAAACTAAAGGCCAGATTGCAACATTAATGTTACAAAAGTGAATACACTGTCATATTTTGAAATTGAAAGTTGCTGGTATATGAGATTGTGTGATCAAACTGTGTATTTTAATTTGGTATTTGCCACTGTTATTGCCATGAAAAAGTTATGAAGATTAGGTCTGCACAAATTTTTATCTTTAAAATAAATTTCATGATTTTCCCCCATTTTTGATGAAGGAGAAATAAAAGAAAGTAGATTCTTTTCATTATCAAATCATTTTTTTGTCTACTTTATGTCAAATTGAGTTAAGAAAAATGAAAGTCTCTTTTAAATGGAAACACTTAAATTAGTTTATTTTAGTTTGCCCTTTGTCTTGACATAATATACTGTATTTTGCCATGTATAATGTACACTGTTTTGCCCAAATTTTGGGGCATGTATCCGGCGTGGGTAGTACCTGAAATGCTTTGTGTCTGTTGTGTTTTATAGTTATTTGTTACATAAAAGTTCTTGTACTCTAATATGTTAAAAAATAAATGCTGAAATTCCTTTATAATACCAAAAGCAAGTATATAAATATAAATAAATAATTGAATTAAAAAAATAAAGTGAAGGATTTTTTTCCCCTGAAAGTTTGGGCCAAAAGCACAGGTATGCATTATGCATGGCAGAATATGATACTCTACTTCCCTTTAGATTCTGGGCTTGAAATTAAATGGTTTTGGAAGTCATGCTCTTGTTTCTTAGTATGTCTTTAAAGAATTAGATTTATCCCTTTTTTCCCTATTGAATGCATATGTTTGATCTCTGTATCTAGGTGGGTTTAATCACTGAAAGTAAAGCTGTTTTGCATAGTAGGATTGCTAAATAACTTACAGCCTGAAGGAATCTTTTGCTTTGCTTGCTATCATTTTTCTTAATTTGTCAAAGTTAGAATTTTAAAACTTTCAGGTTACTAATCATTTTCTTAAAAAATTTCAGATGACTGACCCAGTCACGTTAAATGTAGGTGGACACTTATACACAACGTCCCTCACCACATTGACGCGATACCCAGATTCCATGCTCGGAGCTATGTTTGGGGGGGACTTCCCCACAGCTCGAGACCCTCAAGGCAATTACTTCATTGATCGAGATGGACCTCTTTTCAGATATGTCCTCAACTTCTTAAGAACTTCAGAATTGACCTTACCCCTGGATTTTAAGGAATTTGATCTGCTTCGGAAGGAAGCAGATTTTTATCAAATTGAGCCCTTGATCCAGTGTCTCAATGACCCTAAGCCTTTGTATCCTATGGATACTTTTGAAGAAGTTGTGGAGCTATCTAGTACCCGGAAGCTTTCTAAGTACTCCAATCCAGTAGCTGTCATCATAACCCAATTAACCATCACCACCAAGGTCCATTCCTTACTTGAAGGTATCTCAAACTATTTTACCAAGTGGAATAAGCACATGATGGACACCAGAGACTGCCAGGTTTCCTTCACTTTTGGACCCTGTGATTACCACCAGGAAGTTTCTCTGCGGGTCCACCTGATGGAATATATCACAAAACAAGGCTTCACGATCCGCAACACCCGAGTGCATCACATGAGTGAGCGGGCCAATGAGAACACAGTGGAGCACAACTGGACTTTCTGTAGGTTGGCCCGGAAGACAGATGATTGATCTCTAACCCTGGGAAAAATTTCTGGAAACTGACTCTCCAATAGATGGAAAAGACTGATTTTTTTTTTTAATCACAGTGTGGGATTTTTTAAAAAAAATTTTTGTATTTATTTGCAGGCATTGAAGACCAGAAGGAAGTTTTGTGCTTTAGCAGAATCCTCTATGTTTTGTTCACTTTGCCCTGAGTATGCATGTGCCTGTTCAGAGCCTCCAGATACCTTTTTTATAAAAAGAAGTCTGAAATTATTATGGTATATAATCTACCCTTAACAGAGCTTTTTTTTTTATTACAGTGCTAAAATGATTTCTGATTAAATAGTCCCTGGCTCAACTCGAAGACTAAAAAATGCAGAGATGAAAGAATAAACAGAGTATGCATGATGCTTTTGACAAAAATCAAAACATCATGCAGGGTGACCTAGTTTCCAGACCAATAAGTTGTATCGTAATATTAAAGGAAAACTGTTCTAATCGTTTAAAAGTACTTGTTAAGTACTGCTTTTTACAGTTATGACAACTGTTTCTTTCTATGCATATAAATCAAGCAACCAAATATCTGTAGCCATGGAAATGTCTGACTAGAAATATTTATATTGGATTCTGAATACAAAATGTCCCTGTGGTAGAAATCTTAACTTCTTGTGCCTGGTGCAGTACTAATTCCCAAGTGTACTGTCTACCAGGAAAAAAAAAGAACTAATAAAAAGCGAAATAGAAAAACTGGGTTTATATTTGTGACTATTGTTACTTCTGGGGGAAAATCATTCCTTGTCTAAAGTACACATTGTTTGTTTTAAGTACCAATATACACTACCAAGGCACACCGGTATTTGCTTCAAGAGGTCTCAGTGGAACCTTAGGATGTAGTTTATAGAACTCTGCTGTGTTTTTAAAGCAGGAATAGATGAGGTTACTAATTTTGTCTAAAAGAGTACAACAATGAACATACAGTTTGACAAATTTTGTCAAGTAGGATTTATGTTGAGGATTAAAGGTTTTTCTTCAACAAGCTGCCATTTGTCATAGTTCTGAACATGACCCTTATCCTAGCTTTGTGTTGAGTATGGGGACAAACTGACTTTTCAGCTACCTTATTCTCTTATATTATGGTGACCCAGAAGTGTATTTTATTATTAAAGTTATTTCTGAGGAGAAGAAGTAAACTGCAGTGAATGAAGGATCTGGAATAGTTGGAGACAGGTGTTCGTTTATTTGTTTCACTATAGTCTTACTTTGTGTGGTTCATTTGATTCTATTTCTTGGAAGTTACTCACAGGGAAGGTTATGTTAACTATAGTGAGACTTGCTGGTTTGCTAGAACACCTTCTAAAAGGAAGTTTGGCAGTATCTTCTTCCTTCTATGGGAAGAAAGTTCTAAGGCTATGTGCCCCTAAGGTAGATCACTCCTTATTTCCTCTGAGATTCTTCCTCTGAAAGGAGGATAAAAACACCATCCATTTTTGCCATTCTTGAGAAAATTTATTTTAAGACTTGACAAATGACTACCATTCAGAAACCTATGATTACCCCTTTTTCAAACTAAAATTCCTTAATGTTATTGGCAGGTTACTATAGTTTCAGTAAATGTACTAGTATAAGGTTATATTTTTAGAAAATTGCCTCCTACTTTAAACTGATTAATGGCTACCTTAAAAAAAAAAACAAAACACCCGAGCCTCTTATGTGTTGTTAAGGTAGCTGAGGTGAACATGAGATAAAATTATTTGGTTTGAAAACCAGTATGGAAATGAGAATAATATTTGCCCTTCCAAGGTTTTAAAAGTTAAACCTTATGAGGTCTCTTCCTTGTCCAGGTTACTAGAGATAAGTTTGCTTTTGGTAATTTTTCCCAGATTTATTAATTATTAACAACTGAGTGATTATTTATATGAGGTAATTAGGAAAAGTAGCCAGCTAAGATATTTTGCAATTTAATTTGGTGGCATTTAATTTTGAGTGTTTCATATGCTGAGGCAACTGAAAATGACATGAAAAATGTTGCTTGAGTATATTTGGGTAATTTGACACAATTCTTATATGCATTTTAATTTTCTGTGGAAGAGTTGATTTTAAAATAATTGATATTTAGTTGCAGTCTTAGGGCTGTACAGTATATTTGGATTACACCAAGTATAGGCACTTTTGGAGAAGGATAGTGTTGTGCATGTGTGTGTCCTTTTAAACCCTTGAATAAGTGTGTGCTATAGATACAAATGATAACTAATGAGTCCCTGGCATTTAACAAACTATATGCTACAATTGGATAGTGCTACTATGTTTTATTGCGGGAAATTTCAAACATATTTAGAAGAGGATAGTTTAAACACTCACGTACCCATTGACTAACATCAAGAACTATTCACTCACCCCTCTTCTTCCCATGGATTATTTTGAAGTAAATCACAGGTATTTCATTCACTCCAGACTCTCTCTAGAAGGTAATGACTCTAAAAAGTACACATATATGTACTTTAAAATTTTAATGATATGTATGCCATACTATTATCACTTAATGGTGCTTCTTGAATGCTGTTGATTATCTCACAGCTTGGATCTCCAACTTTGTAGTAGTGGTCTTAGATATTTCTCATAGGCAGGGTTCCCCTGTTTGTAGAAAGAAGAGCATTATTAAGACAGAATATTTGTGCCAGAATTAATAACTTAATTTCAAATTGTTTTGAGTTTCAAAATTAATATTACATAAGATCCTTAACTTTAAAAATTATTTTAAAAATTCATTTTATGTGGACATATGGAGAAATATTTTTTTGAAAGGGCATCCTTCATTTTCTTAAGCAGATTTTAAATCGTGGGTGCAGGTGGCCAATTGAAAAACAGTTATCATTTGCTTTTGGAATTTAATACAAATAAAGAGCTCAACTCTTTGAGGCTCTTTGAAATTGAACATTAGCCATATAAACCAAGGAATGAGAAGGTGGAATCAAGTAAGTAAGATTCTGTATCAGAATAGGTTCTCCCTATTTTCTCTCTTTTTAAAAAAAGATGTTATTTGTTTGTTTTTTTAGAGAGATTGGGAGTGGGCGAAAGAGAGGGAGAGGAACTTCTATGTGAGAAACATCATTGGTAGCCTCTTGGCATGTGTCCCAACTGGGGACTGAACCCACAACCCAGGCATGTGCCCTGAATGGAAATCTAACCGGCAAGCTTTTGGATTGCTGGACAGCACCCAACCCTCTGAGCCACTCTAGTCAGGGCTCCCCATTACTTTCTAATATAATGTTTTGTTCCTTCACAGCCCTGTTCTCATCTTTTGTAATATTTACTTGTTTATTTTTTGCCTCTCAAGGCTGAAACTCCTTGAAAACAGTGTCTGTAACTCTTGTTCTCCACTGTATCCTTAGATCCTAGAATAGTTTCTGGCACATAGTATTTGCTCAATAAATATGTGGGATGAGTGAATGAATCAGTAACTGTGTCCATTAATGCATCTAGCAAGTACTTGGACAAACTTTTACAATAGAATAATTTTGGGGAAATAGGAATCTTGTTTTGAGATCATGCCCAGTGTTTCCTCCACTGCTTGCATCTGTAGGAAATCACTTAGATATGAGTTCATGTGGGGAGGGTAACAGCTTTTTGCTGTTCACTTTGGAAAAACTGGGTTGAAATAGCATCCAGACAGGGAAAAAGCCAATAAACCAGATACCATGGCTCAACTAAACCATGGAAGAGTGCCTCATTCAGTCTTGGGAGAAAGCTCGTCACTTACCTTCCCAGACAGAAGAGCGACTGGCTTAGGATTCTGAGACATTTAATTTAGCATGGTACCTTTTCTTTTGGTGGAAAATGTTAGTGAAATAGACCCCCATTTGCACCTTTGTGTCAACAAGGCATGTTTTAACATAGCTATTTTAATTTATTTGAAATATGCATAGTGTACCTTTTTCAACTAGTGCAAATGAAAAATGCCTTTCACTGCAGTTTCAAAATTATCTTCAGTGGATTAAAAAAGTACACGTTAAAGGTGTTATTTTGCTGGTCTCTAGAGGAGCCAGAAATGTAAGACCATGTGCCTATATAGCAGTCAACTGAGTATCATTTTAACTAATTGGAAACAGTTCTCCAAGGTCATTTATAATCTCAGTTCTTAAACTGCTTTCATGAAAGAGCCACATTGCTGTGCCTGTCACCTTTTTAGCAAGGTAATGGAAGCTAGGATGGGGAGGTCTGCAGCATCGTGTATGTACCAGGTTCCTTTATCTTACTGTGTAGGTCTTAAAACCATGTTTACTCCATAAATGCAAAGCCTACTCTCTGTGATAGATCCAGGAGTTAGGAAGATGAAGACTCCATCCTTGCTCACAGTGAGGTGGCAGGCAAGAAAGAAAAGGGAAAAGTGAGTGGGATGAAGTGCATCAACATTTTACCAAATTTGTTGATGCTGTGGGTCAGTCATGCCTGTCATTTAAATAAGCCTGCCCTCATACAGTGTCCAGATTAAATTCTTTTAAAATAAGTATTAGAAACAGTAAAAGAACAAGAAAGTCCCCTGTGTGCTTTAGTGAACATGCAGAGTCAGAAGAACTGGCATGTTTCCTTGTGCAGTGCTAGTAAAACAGGTTTGAGCCAGGTCATGTCTGCATTTCCTGACGGGTCACAGCAAGGTAGGTTTTTCTCTGGAGTATCAAAGGGCATGCATTTATCTTCAGACCACAGGAGCTATTCTTGGGTGGGAGGACTGCTGTAGTTTCATGCCAGGATTTAAATATTAGAAAGTAAAGAGATCTAAGCATTAGAAAAAGTAAAACAACTAGTGTTAGCTTAACTGTACTAAGCAGTAAATGTATCATGCCTTCTTTAGTGAGTTGTTTCTATTTCCTTGTAGTCAAAAGGGTGCCTTCCTGGAGTCAGAATGACCGAAATGGATTGGCCTTCTGTAAGAGAATGGGTAAGAATGGATTGGCCAACCATCTTCGGCATAACCTGTCGTGTTATAACTTTAGATGATCCTGTTAAATTAAACTCTGAGGTATGACAGAATGCAAAATGTTAAGAGCAAGTCTAACACTTTGGTAGGTATGAAGACTGAGAGTTGCCAATTTGATGAGGTGTTAAGGCACCTTTTCTGAAATTTGACCTAAGAGGTAAAAGAGTAAGTTTCACTATCTGAGTAACATATTTTCATGATAGAACTTAAAATAATCTGTTGTGTTCCTAGAATATTGATCCCTCAAATTCTAAATACCTTGTTTATTTCTTAACTCCTGTTAATGTACTGGACTGTAATGTAATGTACTGGGCTTTGCTGGGCTACTGATGGCAATGTAGCAGCTTTCTGTGTTCCTGGGATTGTGTTCCTTAAAGGGAAGAGGAAGGAGGCATCTCAGCAGGGAGTCAGGTCTGAGAGAGACTCTCCAGTCCATCCAAGCTTCCTATCGCCTGTGAATACCCACTTTTATCAACATAAAACATAGTTAAGAGCCTAAAAATGAGATGAGGCATGATTTATCTTATTTTTGTTACTTAAAAACCAGTTTGCCATTATGTGCGTAGGTCCTTGGGTGTGTCAAGCCATGATTTAAAGCTTGGATCTTCCTCCTAATTCCCTTTATCAAATTCTGAGCATTGCACTTTGCTGATTCCAGTCCAGACTCAGAGTTCCTGCCAGGCCACACCCCCTCCTGATTTCTTTTATGTATTCTCAAAATATTTTAAACAGATATAATATGCCAAGCGATTTCTAACCTAGTGGGAATCAA